GGCTTTGAACTTTAAGTCAATTACCAATCACAAGAACCAATTTAATTTAGACGATTTCATATTTTTGGAATTTGTGGTGAGTAGTGGATATGGTGCTAATGTCTGCAGGATGAAAGATGTTTGCTTTTATTCAGCAGCTTCTCAAAGACACATATTTAGCTGAATGAGGATGTTAATTGTCCATCAAATAATATATTGTTATTTTACTAATCTTTTAATGATGTTCACACTACACACAAAAAAAAAGATATAATATGAGAGTCCACATGCTGTACATTGCGTTGTGCAGGATAATGTTCAAGTATGTAGGCAGACAGAAAAAAAATCTGCTGTTAACCTGTCACACACTTACAAATAATTTTAAATTACTTTAGCCATCATTCATGACTTATCAAACCTGCAACCTGTAGCTGTGTTTAAATGCCAGATGAAAGTAAATCTGGGCCAGCTCGGATGTCTCCTGGCTGGAGGAGTCATGGAGTGTGGGATGGAAGGAAAAAAGGATGGAGGAAGGGATAGAGGACAGATCCTTCCACCTGTAGCGGTGTACATCCTGCAGGACTGTCAGTTGTCTCTCGCTGAGACGCCCAGCTTAGCCGAGGCCAGCCAAACCCTGCAGCCTCCAGCACCAAAAGATGCTGGGGCCCCAGGACATAAGGCACCTGCATGGGGAGATAAAGGCTTCAACTCCTGGGCTAATACTGACGATTCTTTTGATAAATACAGGCGTGGGGTGGTGGGTGGTGGGGGTGCAATCTTTCCCCGCTCACTCTCTCTCCCTGTCTACCTGTCTCAGTAATCTCTCTTTCTTGTACTTTGTGTTTTTCTTCCTACACCCTCTTTTTGTCTGTTTCTCTGCAAGTCTCCCTCCCTCTCTCTTTTTCTATCTCTCCCTCTCTCTGTTCCTTCTTTATCCTGTCCTGTGTGAGTTTGGATCAGACAGGCGGAGCTCTCCACGCTCTGCCTTTTTATTTATTCCATATCTGTAACTGTCAAAAAGAAGATTGCTACTTTAGGAGCTGTCTGTGCTTTGTTGTGCTCATGGAAAGTCAAATAGAGGAGGTTGTGTTAAAAGCATCTTGACCACTTTGTGGGGACACAAACAATGTCAGCTGCGGTCTTGGAAGCCCGAGACAGTTGAAAATGGCTCTACAAGTGCATGAGACACAATGCCTCTTAGATGGCACAGTGCTGAGAGGAGCAGTTAAAACAGTATTAGCCCGGGGAGGTAATTGGAGTCGGGCCTCAGCAACGTTACCTCCTACTGTGTCTGTCACTTAAATACCTATTTATAAGAGCTTATTGAAACATAAACATGGCCAGGGTTGCATGATTAGCGTATTAAGAAAAGCTTTGGGACCTAGATGACCCAACGAGGCTGCTGCTCAGATTAACACCTCAGACATTCAAGATTATGTCAAACGAGGAGTCGAGACCATTCAGGATGTGGCACTTTTCATAACGTGGGACAATAATTACCTGGCATAAAATGTCAGTTAAATTACAAGTGCACAAAACACTTACTACAACTACAACTTTGCTTTATAGCGCTGTCTACAAAGTAACTTAACTGACAGTGTAACTACACTCACCTGAGAAATAACACCAATTTTAAAGCAAGCACTTGTCAGCTTCACTGTAAATAAATGGTTGGCAGGATGAGACAATAGTAGTGGCTGAAGCTGTGAAAAAGCCATATCTCCACAAGCACAACAGAGGAACTCTGAGTGCAAAGTTGCAACTACACCACATGGAGTCAAAACACAGAGAGCGAGGCAGCCGAGCTGAGCTGCATCATATTACACTGTGCTGTATCGTCGACAGCAGTTCATCTTTTCTGTCTACGGTGTCGTGCCCATTGTCTCTTCTCATTAGCCTGCGACCGCGGTGCTACGATATGGTCGGTGCGGGTACTAGGCTAGCAGACGCAGACAGCTCAGGGTGGCAGATGCCTGGCTTTTCTGTGGATGCCCTCCATCAACTGATGACAGATGTCAGGGCTCCTCTTGGACGGCAACACTTCATCACGCTACCCTGTTCTCCCTCCTCGCCCCACTGGATACACCAGCCTGCTTGGCAGACGCAGCGCCCAACCCCACTGCACCAGCCCCATTCCCTCCTGCCACACCTATTCATTCACACACATACACACACACATAAACACACACTCACACACATATCTCTGCATCCATCAGTCAAGCGTTATTACATCAGACAGCCGTCATACTGGCAACCAATGTATCACATGCTAATACGCCCAGACGCATCCACTCTGGAAATCTAAAGTATCAGTCTTTAGGGTGTGTGTGTGTGTGTGTGTGTGTGTGCGTATGTATGTGTGTGTGTGTGTGTATGTTAGGGAATGGGAGTGTCTACTGCAGAGAAGAAAAGTTTTTCAAAGTTGTGGAAAGACTGTTAGCATTCAGGTGACCATAATGCAGACTAAAATTATATAAATGAAATTGCATTACTATACAGCATGCAGTGTAAAGTAGATAACATTTATCTTTTAAATAAAGAATTGAATTGGTACAGTTGTTATTTAACACACTTACCATTTTGGCCTGCTGGTAGACTTGACTACAGGAGACATGCCATCTCTGTACAGGCTCTTGGTCTTCGAGAAGTTTACCACATTGAAAATGACTCTCTGAAAGACATTGAAAAACATTGACGCCACATTAAAGGCACCAAAACTTAAAACACAGTGGAGTCGGGATACACAGATACACACACTTTAGGTGAGTAAAACAGAATACAAGAAAACCCCACACCACATGTTAAAGGTGAATATTTAATCATTGTAATCAGAATCCAGATAATGTGAAGCATTGAAACAATTAAAAAACATAATAAACATAAAAAACATAAAAAGCCACAAACTGACTTATACTTGACAATAGTTTGCTTCTCATGTGACTTGGGAGTGGCTGTAAAATATAAACCTCTAAAGTGTGGAAGCAGCTCGGAGAGAGGTAAAAGTTGCCACGACCACCACCACGGATAACACCAACAGCACACAAAATCACGACACATTAACATTACAGTGAGTAGATAAGGCAGCTTTAATGTCCTGCAGATGATCCCATGTTGCAGTAACAAAGTTCCCGATAAAAGGCAGCAGCTCCGAGGAGGGCCAGCCTCTAATCTGGGAGGACATTACGGTTCTCCCCAGAGGGCTGCTGCCTGCCCCAAAACATTAAGCTTTGCCTGGAGCGCAGAGGACAGCCATGGTGTCTGGCTTTACACCTCCTCTGGACCAAGGACTTTCTTTCTTAGCTTAAATATTGTGAAACAGCCCCTCCTTCCTCCCACCTCCAGTATGCATGATTAGGATCTGGGGGAGTGGGAAAATGTGGAGAGAGAAATGAATAAATATATATTTTTTAAAGTCAAATGAATGGTGATGGTAATACTGCGGTGAGGTAAATGAATCCTATTGATGGGGCATATCAAATTACCAACTAAGTCCAGGTGGTGGAAGTTAACTGGGTGCTACTGAAATCCTATTACAGACTCCCCACCCTCCTTTTCTTTCTCCTTTCCCTCCCCCTCATCCATTTCTCCCTTTTTCTCCTGCCTAGCATCAGAGGAATGGGGATTGCGGATTGTGGCAAGCTGATTCAGACTTAGGTAAAATGACATCTAACTGATGTTGAGACTGGCAGCAGGCTCCTGTAGCAGGGAGATAAGACCATTGCTGCTGGCATTTCAATTACACTTTACTGCCCCGCACATCTGTTGCGAGAGCTACTTTTCAGCCTTTTCCCCTCAGGCAAATACAGCCTTACTCTGACTCCACTGGCTTTCTTTGACTGCACAGCCTCCTTCCTCATTCTTTATCCACAACAAATTCAGATTGTCTTCCTCCTTAGCTTCACTCTACCCACTGTTTGTAATCTATTTGTTCGGCTTGTTTAACTCAGAGGGTGCCGAGACTGGACAGATGACAGAGACACGGGCGAAGAAGAAAAAGGAGGCTGATCGCAGGCAGAATGATACACAATACAAGGGTGGAAGACAGTCAAGCAGAGAAAACGGTACTGTAGATAGAGACATACAGCAGGGACAGGCACAAAAGGACAGAAGATAATTACACAACATTGATAAATATGGGTGGGAGGGAAAGTTACTGAGGAAAATAAACTGGCCTCTACTAGCTAAGTGGGCAGATGCAGAGGACACAGACAGGTGGGCTGGTAGGTAGGGAGAGAGGCACATGGCACGCAGAAGTCTCAGTCTCCTGTGGCTCTCTGATTTCATTGAAGCTAAACAGATTAAAAGAGAAGCTTTTCATCCTGTGACTAAACATCGGATCACAAAGTCAGTCTTTAACCTACAAGACAAGAGGAACTTTAAGAAGCTTAAAAGCAAGGTAGCAAAACCCTGGACAGGTTACTAACAAGCACAGGCCAGCATTGGAAGATGTGTATACTACTTTCAAGATACAAGAGTGTTGTGTCTAGTGTTGTAATCAGAGGTCTGTGTTTCCTGCAGGCGCTTCTCATCCTGAAACTTGACGTCTCTTCTGAATTTTTTTAATGACTCTAAACTAATCCAGTTGTACCTTAGTGGAGGGATGTGGCTGAAGTTGTTTTTACACAGATCAACAATATCAGTGCAATTTTTGTAATCGTTTTTGCATGAAATTGTGCTTCCGTTTCCATCTGCTTAGACCACCTCTTATCACAAACGCAAGCACAAAGATCAATTTTTGTGGCTTTGGTTGACAGAATCTAGAAAATCACCAGAACCCATTTATGTTTGTTGGGTTTTGCCTCTTCGATCTTTTTAATCTAGTCCAGATTAAAAGCACCCTGGGCGCCCGGTTAGCTCAGTAGGTACAGCTGGCGACCCATGTACCAAGGCTGAGTCCTTGCTGCAGCGGCCCAGGGTTCGAATCCAACCTGAGGCCCTTTGCTGCGTGTCATCCCCTCTCTCTGTCCCCCTTTCCTGTCTGTCTCCAGCTGTCCTATCAAATAAAGGCATATAAGCCGAAAAAAATATACTTTAAAAGCACCCTAAAATAAAAAACTTTAAATGTGGTCACAACATAGTTTGTTCTTTGAATAACTGGACAACTTTTAGTATATTAAATAACTGGATCCATCACAGAGCAATGGGACAGATGGAGGAGCTTGAAGAATGTGATGCATGCAGATGAACTACTGTGAGCTCTCAGTTTACACAATCATGTAAGCTGACAGACATAAGTACAACAGAAAGTAACTTTTGTCCGTGTAAGAAAATAAAAGAACAATGCTGTTGCTGTCAGAATCAGAATCAGAATCAGAAATACTTTAGTAATCCCAGGGGGAAATTATTTAGAACCAGTTAACATCCAACTGTGTCAAAGCCTTTTTGCGGATATATGCATGTTTGGCAAAGCCTTTTATACACCACTGGTAACTAT